TTGTCAACTTTCGACTTAGTCATATTTTTGTATTTATTGATGTCAGTAAGAAGGCGCCAACACGCATACCAAGCCAAAATGCAACTCGAAAAGTAGAAATTAGGAAATTAACACACCACGCTATTTGCGACTTTTCGCCTCGGAAGTTGTTGTCGTCTCAGTTTTCCAGGTCGCATTTGAATACGTGCAATCAGGGCTCACACTGTATTTCATTCTTTTCTTTTCCGTCAATATGGATAATAATTTTTATATAAAAAAAATGTTCATATTTTTTTTCCGCCAACTGGGATATTTTATCTGCCAAAAATGTCTGATAAAAAAAAACCACACCTTAGGCTACAATAATTTAATTTATTATATAGGCCTATTATAAAACAAATTTCCCTTACCGATATATATAATATACAATAACATACATGGGGATTGGGTGGTCTAGTGGTTTAAAACGTGTGCGTGAAATCACAAGGTCTGACATTAATTCAAGTGGTGTGGTTTCGATTCCCCGCTTAAACATGACAAGGGAGTAGGATCGCTTGTCCAACCTTGTGGGTTTTCTCCGGATACCCCAGCTTCTATCCACTGCTAAAGACCCCTACGTGCAAACGAATTATTGAAATGATTTAGTTTGCAACGAGTGGATGTTAAGCCAGCCTGGTGGTCGGGTGTTCGATCCCTGCATCGGCCGAGAAAGTTCATCCAGATTTTCCGGCGGATTCCCCCTTGTCCGTGATGCAGGACGTGGAGGTCGGGTGTTCGATCCCTGCATAGGCCGAGAAAGTTCATCCAGATTTTCTGGCAGATTCCCCCTTGTCCGTGATGCAGGACGTGGAGGTCGGGTGTTCGATCCCTGCATTGGCCGAGAAAGTTCATCCAGATTTTCCGGCAGATTCCCCCTTTTCAGTGATGCAGGACGGGGGGGGGGGGCTGACAAGGACAACTGTCTAGTTGTTCGGATGGGACCAAAAAAACCGAGCTTCCGTGTACACATTGGCGTGCACGTAAAATATCCCTTGACAGGTGGGATTCGATATAAGAGTAGGCCGTATTGCCGCTGTACGGGCAAAATTTCCCTTATAGCACACTGTATGGCGTATGCCCGTCTTCATTAGCCCAGTTCGGATCAGAACAGTAGGACGTTGAACCCCAATTTCATTTAATTTCTCTTTCTCTCTCTCTCATCGCCAATTTTTAAAATAAAATTGCACCATGTTAGTCACTGAATAACTCTTAGTTTGTGTCGAGTGGACGTTACCCCCCCCCCCCCCCCCCTACAGAACAATATATATTCAGCCTCTACACGCCAGTCTCATCCAAGGATTTCCCTTTTTAACGTTTTGCATGTACAATAGGCCTATTCTTAATTGCAGGTACCGTAATGACCCAGAATCTGAATCCTCATAGAAATTTTAATTTTATTTGTAAGACATGCTTACAATCATTAGAGAATTTGTGCGGCGGTACTGAAACGTCACTATTCGACTCGTTCTTACATTTCCTACCCGTGGTCATAATATAATTTGAAATAAAATAAAAATATACAACCGGGAAAACCTGTATATTTAATATGCGGTATGAAACCACAGTAGGCCTAAATGAAATTCAATTATCGATGCGCGTATTCTAATGTGACCTTGAAAGTAGAGACTACATCAACTTCCGAGGCGAAAAGTCAACAGCACGACAGCAAGCCAAAATCATAGGTCGCTAATATCGCCTTCAATACTAGACTTTATCATACAGACTATTTTGTTAACGCAAATTGCATGTACAGTATTTAAATGCGACCTGGCAAATTGTGACTACAACCACTTCCGATGCGAAACTCGAAAAGTCGCCAGTACGACAGCAAGCCAAAATGATAGGTCGCAAATAGCGAGTTGCATTTTGGCTTGGTATGCGACAGTTGTCCTTGTCAGCCCCCCCCCCCGTCCTGCATCACTGACAAGGGGAAATCCGCCGGGAAATCTGGATGAACTTTCTCGGCCAATGCAGGGATAGAACACCCGACCTCCACGTCTTGCATTACTGACAAGGGGGAATCCGCCGGAAAATCGGGCTGAACTTTCTCGACCAATGCAGGGATCGAACACCCGACCTCCAGGCTGGCTTAACATCCACTCGTTGCAAACTAAATCATTTCAATAATTCGTTTGCACGTAGGGGTCTTTAGCAGTGGATAGAAACTGGGGTATCCGGAGAAAACCCACAAGGTTGGACAAACAATCCTACTCCCTTGTCATGTTTAAGCGGGGAATCGAAACCACACCACTTGAATCAATGTCAGACCTTGTGATTTCACGCGCACGTGTTAAACCACTAGACCACCCAATCCCCATGTATGTTGTTGTATATTGTATATATCGGTACGGGAAATTTGCTTTATAATAGGCCTATATAATAAATTAAATTGTTGTAGCCTAAGGTGTGTTTTTTTTTTATCAGACAATTTTGACAGATAAAATATCCCAGTTGGCGTAAAAAAATATGAACATTTTTTTTACAAAAATTATTATCCATTTTGACGGAAAAGAATGAAATACAGTGTGAGCCCCGATTGCACGTATTCAAATGCGACCTGGAAAACTGAGACAAAAAGACGGTATACAAGCCAAAATGCAAGTCGAAAATAAGAAATTAGGAAAAAACGAGGGGCGCTATTATCGCTGTGTGTTATTTCTTAATTTCCTATTTTCGAGTTGATTTTGGCTTGTATAGCGTGTTGGCGCCTTCTTACTGACATCAATAAATACAAAAATATGACTAAGTCGAAAGTCGACAAGACGGTATACAAGCCAAAATGCAAGTCGATAATAAGAAATAAGGAAAAAAACGAGGGGCGCTATTATAGCTGTGTGTTATTTCGAGTTCCTATTTTCGAGTTGATTTTGGCTTGTATAGCGTGTTGTCGCCTCACATTTTGTCGTAACTTCTACTTTTCGACTTTTCGACTTTCGTGTTTTGAAGAGGCGAAAAGTAGAAATTATGAATGGTAGGCTTCCATAGTTTTGGCATATTTTACGGGGTTAAACTAAAACATCACACCAATACAATGTTTATCATGTTTAAGTCAGGGGGTGCCGTATTCATATTTTTTTCACGACTTTTACATATTGAATGTTACGCTTGAGTTATGAACAACACGACAAAGAGAGAGTTTAGTAGGGGAATTTTTATGAGGAGAATCCAAATGAAACAAAACCTGATCACATAACTTTAGTTTATGGGGATACATATTTGACAATCACCTTGTTAACCACAATACTATATACATATACACATTGACATTTACAAGAAAGTTGTATAGATATTTGAAGTATTTTGTGTATTATAAATGGATTTCAAAAAGTAAACATAAGTGTTTGTGTTTTAATTTGTACATTGTTTTATACAGATAGAATCTTAACTAATCCTAATAATTGTTGTAAATAAATAGGAGTTAGGACCTACTATGTAAATATTGGGGGGGGGGGTATATTCAGACCCACTCGGAACCCCCCCCCCCCATGTGTGACGCCCATGTACTTATCCCACAATTTAAAAAGTCGACCCTCTATATGCCGATACCGGCTGGCGCCGTCTCAGCGAACCCTCATGGTAATATCGATGGGTATCTTTTTTGCCTCGGGAAACAACTCACAAATGAGTAAATAAAATGACACCGGCCCCCTGGAGTTGACAGTGGTACTTGTTTTGTTGTATCGCCTGCTTTTATAAAAGCGTGGATTGAGAATAGATGGGAAAAGGGTTTGTTTATAACCTGGAAGGTTGCGTCCATATACCAGGTTTTTGCTCTGGAAAGAAGATTAGTTGTTGCTTGGTGACGAAGATGTGGTGTCGCCTGCCTCCAACTTTAACGCGTTTCTGGTAGAAACCAGGGGCGTTCCATTCAATAAAGTCTTCATCAAGCTGAAACGAAAACCAATAATGTATTTAACATTTAACAATACACATTATACTTAACAATAATGTACAATTATACTTAACACATAATGTTTTTTGTTTTTGTTTTTTTTTTTTTTGGGGGGGGGGGGGGTTGTAAGGGACGCATAATATACACCAGTATAATCACCAACTTCCAGTTTAAATACAAGTCTATTGTTATAATATGATATGTTATATCATTTTATACAGCGTATGTAAAGTTAAATTGTATTTTATTTATGTATGTTCTTTGATATGAGTATGCCACTTACTTTTATGGAGCTGAATGTAAATATTTAGGGTTTAGCATAGCATGGATTTGGCTTGTCTACGATATCACCTCAGTGGACGCAAAACTCTAGAAACGAACGAACGAACGACGATGGATTTGATCTGGTCTGACTATCCAATACGTCATATCAGTTGACATAAAAGACTGATTCGTAGTAGACATTAATTTTGTATGTTTTTGTTGAAGGTGTTGTGATATGATTGTACGAAATTACTTACGTGTTTGTACCGGAAGATTTGATTAAAGTGGATTATTGTTAGTGACTTTGACAAGACGTCCCGTCCCATTCGTCCCGAATTACCCAAATTGCTGCTGGCTAATCTCTACCGAACGAATATTTAATGTGGATACATTGTTAGTGACGTTGACAAGACGTCACGTCCCGTCCCATTCGTTCCGAATTGCTGCTGGCTAATCCCCTACCGAACGAATATTTAATGTTCACAATATAATTTCTTAACACTGACGTTGTGCGGGTAACACGTTTACAGTGTAATACCAATTGGCATGACCAACTATTTGCACATCCATGCACACACCAACACCAACTCCGAACAAATGCAGATATTATGTAGAAAAACATTGAAAATCGCAAACCATGAAACTGCTTAATCAATTTTTGATTATATTTCTCTAAAAAATAACTGCATAAAACTCTGACCCTCGAAGGTCAGTAATTTGCCTATCTGCCCTAATGGTTGTACCTAGCTCATTGTTAACTGGCTCTATATTTCTTAGTGTGACAGATAACTGTGTGAATAGAGTATTTCGTCTTGGTTCGGCAAGTTGTGTTTGCTTGACTGAAAATGTCTCATACAACTTCTTTGAAATTCTACACACAAGCGAGCACAAGTTCTTTATCACGCCTCGCCAGTTTCATTTAGGTTTGAACACAAGGACCCTAGATCTATGTAGATAAATATAAAGCAAAGTGTGTCAGTTGGTGTTCGACATGTTGTACTTTTAACGTACTAAATATCTACCAAGACTTTGTTTCGAGTTTAATTTTTAAGGAGTATTAGTTTATTTGAACCGAGATCCAGGTGGGTGGTTTTATTTTTACTTATTCTGATCAGCATCTGGATTAAAAGCATAAATGTCTCGGATTCTAACAGTTGTTATGTGCGTATTGTCGATTATAAGAAATAATTCGGTCATGTTTGATGGTCACTGATACCAATAAATGTTTGAGATCCGTAAATTCCGCCGAGTGATTTTTTTTATAGGCAACTAATTATATATAGCATGATATTATGTACTAAGCCCTACGTAGTGATGAATGTTTATCACGATGTAGGCTATGTTTAATTTCGAACACCCGGGAAGTGAAAATCGGATAATAATTGACACTTTTATGGACCAAAAACCATGAAAAGTGACTTTTAGAAAATGGTCTATTTCTCGGCAACTAAAGTTAAAAATTTTAATACATATTACATAATATTGATTTTAAAGGTTAAAAATTTAGTTTTTGACAAAATGGCGCCACTTCCGTTGACATTTAAAATGTTAAATTGGTTTCACCTAATCAAAAGTGGCATAGAGCATCAAATGGTGTCTCTTTTATGAACATCCAATAACAATTGACTCTTTTACAGGCAAAATAACACGAAAAGTGACTCATGCAAAATTGCCTATTTTCCGGCAACTGCTCATATTACAAACTATTTTTTTTTACATACATTGTCTTCGTATGAGAATTGCGAAGAAATATTTTAAAATATGAAAAGCCTGATTGGGCTGTGATTAGCTCATTTTTTCACCTTTGTTCACCTTTAAATCAAAATGGCACAGAAACAAAACCGAGTCCAACTTTTTTTGCGCCTTTTGTATGGGCATTTATCTTGATGTACATTTGCTTGCGAAAAGACGCTCCGACTCGTCAAAATTAGAGTTTTTAGCAAAATTGCGTCACATCCGGTGCCGATAGAAAACTTTACCGGTAATAAAAAATTCAAAATTTGGACCATGGAGCATATGAACTTTGATTTATGCAAATCGGGCAATAGAAATAGTTTTAAAATGTAAGTCAAACCCACATTCAAAGTAAAACCGAAGAAATCGAATCGATCCAACAAGTAGTTTCTCAGATATGTTTAAATGGAAAAAGAAAATAATAACAATAACCCGAACAAAAACAATAGTGTTTCACACAAGCTACGCAGTGTTAATTCAGACAAAAGTCTGAAAGCATAATAAGAATAATAATCCGAATAATAATGTGAAACGCTAATTAGAATCTCTTGGGTCATCAAATGGAACTGTTTATCTTGTACACAACCCAACATGTGTGTATGGAGGTAAGGGTCCCGGGACATTTGTCCCACTTTGCCCTCACTAGTTCCGGTTCTGGTGACTATAACGTGATCAATATGCTTATAAATAATTGTGACAAGTCGTATCATATGATACGACAAACAAAGCAAAATCGTTTGCTTTTTTCAAAATGTTTCCATTATATTTTCAGGTGGATAAAGATGTCTACCATGTCAGGTAAATTGGTCTACCCAGTCCTACTAGTAACGATTATCTGTATCTTGCCAGTAACAGCACAAGGTGTGTAACTTGATTATTTACATATCCATTTAAAGTAACGATATTGTTAATGATTTTTATAAACCAACCACGTCAAAAATCATAGGCTACTATACGGCTATTAACAAACTGTCAAGGACGAATTCTTTTACGTGCTTGCCAATCTATACATCAGATCTCCGTTTTTCATTACATCTGTAGACACTGTTTCTTGCCAGATTCTTCATCCTGCACCACTGACAAGGGTAATCTATACTGGAAATCATCGTGGAGAACTTTCATTGCCCTCACAGGGGTCGAACCCACTGACCTCCTGATTATTAAGCAAGTGCCCTAATTACCGAGTCACTGCGACTTCCCATTCTAGAATATATTCACGCCAATATCCTTATCACTTTATTTGCAGTATTAAATAAAATAAAGCCCAGTTGTTACTTTCTATTTTTTTAGCGCTTCATCCATATATAAGTCGATGCGGAGTATAAGGCCAAGGCCCGACTTCCGCGGAAAAAAGTATCAACTTGGTTCCTTTCGATATTCGCGCATATCGGACCGAAGCTGCATGGATTATGGACCCTGATTGTACTAACCGGCGGTTGCCAGGCAAGATACGCCCACATTTTGCAAGAGATGGCTAAAATAAAAGATTTTTCGTACATTAAGGGACCATAATCCAGGAAGTTATGGTCTGAAATGCGCGAATATCGAGCGGGGCTGCGATATTTGGGATATAAAGATATATTTTAAGTTTCATTAAAATCGGATAAAAATTGTGATTTTACCACAAACTTGGTATTACATACTTTTACACTATTTATGTTCAAGGAGCGGCCATTTTGTCAGGCAGTTTCGCTCCGATTTTCACGAAATTCAAACTCAACCGTCACTAGGGTGTAACGGTGATACATTTAAACGTTTTTTTTTTTAAAAATCGGATAAAAAGTGTGACGTCAAGATATAGTGTAGGATTGATCAATATGTTTTTATCTTCTTATAAACTAAGCTCTTCATATTGTAAATGAAATGAAATGAAATGGGTTTAACGTCCTACTGTTCTGCTCCTACTGGGCTAATGAAGATGGTAAGCTTAAGTGAAAAGTGTTGAAATCTAAAATTTGTTTTGATATTATTGATTTTATATCACAGATCCGTGTCTTGATAATCCATGTTTAAATAATGGACGTTGTATCCGCGAAGGATCGACCTATACCTGTTCCTGTATGATGGATTACACTGGTAAAAACTGTGAAATACTAGTTCCACGTAAGTTGATCATGTAATTAAAGGCACAAGATGTCAGATAGTTACAAATATATAGCAAACATATAAACTATTTTAAAGAATGAATAGAAACCAATGTAAACTTTTAATGGCCATAACTTTAGGAAGAGATAAAGGAATTTAGTTTATAGTGAGTTCAAATTGCCATCATTAATGTTGGCCTCGATGGAAACAAACTTATTCTCTGGTAGCAGACTGACGTTCTATGATAGAAGTGACTTTGGATAACCATAGTGTAGGATTGATCAATATCTACGAGGGGTGATTGATAAGTAGTGAGTCTAACACAGAAAGAAACAAGAAATTCAAATCAAATGCATTTATTTTTCAACATAGTCCCCCTTCAATGTAATACACTTCTACCATCGGTGTTGCAGAGCCTTTATTCCAGTTCTGTAGAAGTCTTTGTCTTGGGTGTGTAGAAAATCATCCACAGCGGCAATGACGCCATAGTCAGACGGGAAATGCCTACCGGAAAGACATTTCGTCAGAGCAGGAAACAGATAGATGTCCGAGGGAGCTAAATCAGGAGAGTAGGGTGGATGCTGAAGAAGTTGAAAACTACAGTCATGGATTGCTGACATGGCAACAGCTGATTTGTGCACTGGCGCATTGTCCTGGTGGAAAATCACACTTTTCGTCAGCTTTCCTCGTCTTTTGGTCTTAATTTCTTGCCCTAACTGCCTTGTAAGTGCTGCATAGTATCTACCGTTAATTGTTTGACCCTTTCTGAGGTAATCCACCATGAGAACACTCTCAGAATCCCAGAATACTGAGGTCGTCACCTTTCCTGCCGGTGAAACAGTCTTTGCCTTCTTTGGGGTCGGCGACGTCACATGTTTCCACTGTTTTGACTGCTCTTTTGTTTCTGGCGGAAAGTGGTGGACCCAAGTTTCATCCATAGTAAACAATTTGATTTAGGAAGCGGTCAGGATCGGTTTCAAATAATACTAGATTCTCTTCTGACATGATGTGTCTTGAACGCTTTTGATCAGGCGTCAAAAGCTTTGGCACCCATCGCGCTGAAACCTTTGTCTTTTCCAAAGTTTCAGTGATAATAGAATGAACTCTCTCCTGGCTAATACCAACTACCCTAGCTATGAATCGTTCAGTAACTCGCCGGTCATTCATTATCAGATCATGGATTTTTTGTACAATTTCAGGTGTTGACACAGTTTTTAGTCGACCAGGGCGTGGTTCGTCTTCAATGCTGTCCCGGCCACGCTTGAATTCAGCTGACCACCTTTGAATTGTGGCATATGAAGGAGCATCATCTCCCAATGTCTCAACCATATCATTATGTATGGCTTTCGGTGTTAGACCCTTTTTATGCAGATACTTAATCACAGCTCTCGCCTCGATATGGTCCATTTTCTGATAACAACAGACCCTACTTGATTGTTATGACCTGTCACAACCAAACAGTTTAAACGAATGTGATGAAAGTTTGTGACAGAGCCCGAGGAACATAATAGTGCACGTGCAAAACGTGGTATCATTGTGTTGCACGGTTTTCCAATCGAGGCTCACTACTTATCAATCACCCCTCGTATTATTATCTTTAAACTTAAGGTTATATTTAAAAAAAACTGATTTTTATACGCCTACATTTTCATGTGGACGTATATTGTCGTCGCCCCTGTCCGTCAAAACCTATCTTTTTAGCACGTTCTTTGTCCTTCTCTTGCAAAATATGATTGTATCTTGCTTGCAACCGCTTGGTTTTATCTTCTTATAAACTCAGCTCTTCATATTGTATAAAGTACGACTTCAGCTTAAGTGAAATGAGTTTAACGTCCTACTGTTCTGCTCCGACTGGGCTAATGAAGATGGTAAGCTTAAAGGACAATATTGGTGCCAGTCATTATTACACATGTGATACAACTGGTTAAATACATTCCAAATATAATTTTAACACAGAGATCATTGCTACGGGAGACGTGTAACAAACACGTGAAGAAACGGGAAGTGACGCCAAACATGACAAACACGAGTTGTCCTTCTATATAACTGACTGAAGTAACGAGCGATAGCAGACAAACGATCGAATTTCATTTCACTGATAATTCCGTTGAAGTTGAAAAGTTATTATATGGGACGGTGAGAGGGTGGCTGAATGGTTAGCACGTGCGCGCTGTATCATAAGGCCTGTCACTGAGTCAACTGGCGTTGTTTCGAATCCCCGGTTGTACGTAACAAAGAGTAGGGTTGCCTGTCCAACCTCGTGGGTTTTCTCCGGGTTCTCCCACTGCTAAGGACCCGTACTCGCAAGCGAATTATTGAAATAAAATTAAAACCATATGTTAGTCCCGAAATGACCTAGTCTGTGTCGAGTGGACGTTAAACCCCATTTCTCTCTCTCTCTGAAATGAAATGGGTTTAACGTCCAACTTTTCTGCTCCTGCTCCGACTGGGCTAATGAACAGTGGCGGCGCCAGCCGTCGGTGATTGGTGGGGCAAAGCTGGGGCAAAGTCCAAGGTGAAGGGGGCAAAGGCACGAGCTTTAACTAGGGGTAGGGGGCCTCCCCCAGAATATTTTGAAAAACAGGTTGCCGGAAATGCAGCCTGTCAGTATTTCAGGCACTGATCGATGAACGGACTTGCGAATCACGACGAAGCCCACTCACGAGCGTCAAAGTAGGGAGTTCCTCCCCAGAAAATTTTGAAAAATAGACTGCCGGAAATGCTGTCTTACAGTATTCTGTCAGGCACCGATCGTCGAGATAAATAGATCTGACCAGATACCGCCCGTCGCCTGATCACTAGTTTATCCGACTAGAGAACAAAATGTCAAACGAACGGATTTGCGAACCTCAACGAATTCCCCTTGTGAGCGCCAAAGTAGCGATTCCATTGGGGACATCGCCAAGAAAATTTTGAAAAATAGACTTTCGGAAATGCTCTACAACATGCAAGTTTATGACTGAGTGGGGATGTAGGATTTATTCACCGTAGAAGGTCAATACCGAAACGTATCACAAATACTTTTTGTTATTTTCTAAAATTATTTTTTTTGGGGGGGGGGGGGGGGCAAACAGAGGGCAGACCAGATTAATGGGGATCAAATGCCCGCCTTGTCCCCCCCCCCTCTGGCGCCGCCACTGCTAATGAAGATGGTAAGCTTAAGTGAACTGTGTTGAAATCTAAAGTTTGTTCTGATATTATTGATTTTATATCACAGATCCGTGTCTTGATAATCCATGTTTAAATAATGGAAGTTGTATGCGCGAAGGATCGACCTATACCTGTTCCTGTATGATGGATTACACTGGTAAAAACTGTGAAATACTAGTTCCACGTAAGTTGATCATGTAATTAAAGACACAAGATGCCAGATAGTTACAAATATATATCAAACATACAAACTATTTTAAAGAATAAATAGAAACCAATGTAAACTTTTAATGGCCATAACTTTAGCAAGAGATGATGGAATTTAGTTTATATTGAGTTCAAGCTGCCATCATTAATGTTGGCCTCGATGAAAACAAACTTGTTATTCTCTGGTAGCAGACTGACGTGCTATGATAAAAGTGACTTTCGACAACCATAGTGTAGGATTGATGAATATGTATTATTATCTTTAAACTTAAAGTTATCTTTAAAAAACTGATTTTTATATGCCTACATTTTCATGTGGACGTATATTGTCGTCGCCCCTGTCCGTCAAAACCTGTCTTTTTAGCACGTTCTTTGTCCTTCTATTGCAAAATATGATCGTATCTTGCTTGCAACCGCTTGGTTTTATCTTCTTATAAACATTGCTCTTCATATTGTAATAAAGTACGACTTCAGCCTAAGTGAAATGAGTTTAACGTCCTACTGTTCTGCTCCGACTGGGCTAATGAAGATGGTAAGCTTAAAGGACAATATTGGTGCCAGTCATTATTACACATGTGATACAACTGGTTAAATACATTCCAAATATAATTTTAACACAGAAATCATTGCTACGGGAGACGTGTAACAAGCACGTGAAGAAACGGGAAGTGACGCCAAACATGACAAACACGAGTTGTCCTTCTATATAACTGACTGAAGTAACGAGCGATAGCAGACAAACGATCGAATTTCATTTCACTGATAATTCCGTTGAAGTTGAAAAGTTATTATATGGGACGGTGAGAGGGTGGCTGAATGGTTAGCACGTGCGCGCTGTATCATAAGGCCTGTCATTGAGTCAACTGGCGTTGTTTCGAATCCCCGGTTGTACGTGACAAAGAGTAGGGTTGCCTGTCCAACCTCGTGGGTTTTCTCCGGGTTCTCCCACTGCTAAGGACCCGTACTCGCAAGCGAATTATTGAAATAAAATTAAAACCATATGTTAGTCCCGAAATGACCTAGTCTGTGTCGAGTGGACGTTAAACCCCATTTCTCTCTCTCTCTGAAATGAAATGGGTTTAACGTCCAACTTTTCTGCTCCTGCTCCGACTGGGCAAATGAACAGTGGCGGCGCCATCCGTCGGTGATTGGTGGGGCAAAGCTGGGGCAAAGTCCAAGGTGAAGGGGGCAAAGGCACGAGCTTTAACTAGGGTTAGGGGGCCTCCCCCAGAATATTTTGAAAAACAGGTTGCCGGAAATGCAGCCTGTCAGTATTTCAGGCACTGATCGATGAACGGACTTGCGAATCACGACGAAGCCCACTCACGAGCGTCAAAGTAGGGAGTTCCTCCCCAGAAAATTTTGAAAAATAGACTGCCGGAAATGCTGTCTTACAGTGTTCTGTCAGGCACCGATCGTCGAGATAAATAGATCTGACCAGATACCGCCCGTCGCCTGATCACTAGTTTATCCGACTAGAGAACAAAATGTCAAACGAACGGATTTGCGAACCTCAACGAATTCCCCTTGTGAGCGCCAAAGTAGCGAGTCCATTGGGGACATCGCCAAGAAAATTTTGAAAAATAGACTGTCGGAAATGCTCTACAACATGCAAGTTTATGACTGAGTGGAGATGTAGGATTTATTCACCGTAGAAGGTCAATACCGAAACGTATCACAAATACTTTTTGTTATTTTCTAAAATTATTTTTTTTTTGGGGGGGGGGGGTCAAACAGAGGGCAGACCAGATTAATGGGGATCAAATGCCCCCCTTGCCCCCCCCCCTCTGGCGCCGCCACTGCTAATGAAGATGGTAAGCTTAAGTGAACTGTGTTGAAATCTAAAGTTTGTTCTGATATTATTGATTTTATATCACAGATCCGTGTCTTGATAATCCATGTTTAAATAATGGAAGTTGTATGCGCGAAGGATCGACCTATACCTGTTCCTGTATGATGGATTACACTGGTAAAAACTGTGAAATACTAGTTCCACGTAAGTTGATCATGTAATTAAAGACACAAGATGCCAGATAGTTACAAATATATATCAAACATACAAACTATTTTAAAGAATGAATAGAAACCAATGTAAACTTTTAATGGCCATAACTTTAGCAAGAGATGATGGAATTTAGTTTATATTGAGTTCAAGCTGCCATCATTAATGTTGGCCTCGATGAAAACAAACTTGTTATTCTCTGGTAGCAAACTGACGTGCTATGATAAAAGTGACTTTCGACGACCATAGTGTAGGATTGATGAATATGTATTATTATCTTTAAACTTAAAGTTATCTTTAAAAAACTGATTTTTATACGCCTACATTTTCATGTGGACGAATATTGTCGTCGCCCCTGTCCGTCAAAACCTGTCTTTTTAGCACGTTCTTTGTCCTTCTCTTGCAAAATATGATCGTATCTTGCTTGCAACCGCTTGGTTTTATCTTCTTATAAACATTGCTCTTCATATTGTAATAAAGTACGACTTCAGCTTAAGTGAAATGAGTTTAACGTCCTACTGTTCTGCTCCGACTGGGCTAATGAAGATGGTAAGCTTAAAGGACAATATTGGTGCCAGTCATTATTACACATGTGATACAACTGGTTAAATACATTCCAAATATAATTTTAACACAGAGATCATTGCTACGGGAGACGTGTAACAAGCACGTGAAGAAACGGGAAGTGACGCCAAACATGACAAACACGAGTTGTCCTTCTATATAACTGACTGAAGTAACGAGCGATAGCAGACAAACGATCGAATTTCATTTCATTGATAATTCCGTTGAAGTTGAAAAGTTATTATATGGGACGGTGAGAGGGTGGCTGAATGGTTAGCACGTGCGCGCTGTATCATAAGGCCTGTCACTGAGTCAACTGGCGTTGTTTCGAATCCCCGGTTGTACGTGACAAAGAGTAGGGTTGCCATTCCAACCTCGTGGGTTTTTCGTCGGGTTCTCCCACTGCTAAGGACCCGTACTAGCAAGCAAATTATTGAAATAAAATTAAAACCATATGTTAGTCCCGAAATGACCTAGTCTGTGTCGAGTGGACGTTGAACCCCATTTCTCTCTCTCTCTGAAATGAAATGGGTTTAACGTCCAACTGTTCTGCTCCGACTGGGCTAATGGACAGTGGCGGCGCCAGCCGTCGGTGATTGGTGGGGCAAAGCTGGGGCAAAGTCCAAGGTGAAGGGGGCAAAGGCACGAGCTTTAACTAGGGGTAGGGGGCCTCCCCCAGAATATTTTGAAAAACAGGTTGCCGGAAATGCAGCCTGGCAGTATTTCAGGCACTGATCGATGAACGGACTTGCGAATCACGACGAAGCCCACTCACGAGCGTCAAAGTAGGGAGTTCCTCCCCAGAAAATTTTGAAAAATAGACTGCCGGAAATGCTGTCTTACAGTATTCTGTCAGGCACCGATCGTCGAGATAAATAGATCTGACCAGATACCGCCCGTCGCCTGATCACTAGTTTATCCGACTAGAGAACAAAATGTCAAACGAACGGATTTGCGAACCTCAACGAATTCCCCTTGTGAGCGCCAAAGTAGCGAGTCCATTGGGGACATCGCCAAGAAAATTTTGAAAAATAGACTGTCGGAAATGCTCTACAACATGCAAGTTTATGACTGAGTGGGGATGTAGGATTTATTCACCGTAGAAGGTCAATACCGAAACGTATCACAAATACTTTTTGTTATTTTCTAAAATTATTTTATTTTTGGGGGGGGGGGGGGCAGACCAGATTAATGGGGATCAAATGCCCCCCTTGTCCCCCCCCCCCTCTGGCGCCGCCACTGCTAATGAAGATGGTAAGCAAAAGTGAACTGTGTTGAAATCTAAAGTTTGTTCTGATATTATTGATTTTATATCACAGATCCGTGTCTTGATAATCCATGTTTAAATAATGGAAGTTGTATGCGCGAAGGATCGACCTATACCTGTTCCTGTATGATGGATTACACTGGTAAAAACTGTGAAATACTAGTTCCACGTAAGTTGATCATGTAATTAAAGACACAAGATGCCAGATAGTTACAAATATATATCAAACATACAAACTATTTTAAAGAATGAATAGAAACCAATGTAAACTTTTAATGGCCATAACTTTAGCAAGAGATGATGGAATTTAGTTTATATTGAGTTCAAGCTGCCATCATTAATGTTGGCCTCGATGAAAACAAACTTGTTATTCTCTGGTAGCAGACTGACGTGCTATGATAAAAGTGACTTTCGACGACCATAGTGTAGGATTGATGAATATGTATTATTATCTTTAAACTTAAAGTTATCTTTAAAAAATTGATTTTTATACGCCTACATTTTCATGTGGACGTATATTGTCGTCGCCCCTGTCCGTCAAAACCTGTCTTTTTAGCACGTTCTTTGTCCTTCTCTTGCAAAATATGATCGTATCTTGCTTGCAACCGCTTGGTTTTATCTTCTTATAAACATTGCTCTTCATATTGTAATAAAGTACGACTTCAGCTTAAGTGAAATGAGTTTAACGTCCTACTGTTCTGCTCCGACTGGGCTAATGAAGATGGTAAGCTTAAAGGACAATATTGATGCCAGTCATTATTACACATGTGATACAACTGGTTAAATACATTCCAAATATAATTTTAACACAGAGATCATTGCTACGGGAGACGTGTAACAAGCACGTGAAGAAACGGGAAGTGACGCCAAGCGAATTATTGAAATAAAATTAAAACCATATGTTAGTCCCGAAATGACCTAGTCTGTGTCGAGTGGACGTTAAACCCCATTTCTCTCTCTCTCTGAAATGAAATGGGTTTAACGTCCAACTTTTCTGCTCCTGCTCCGACTGGGCTAATGAACAGTGGCGGCGCCAGCCGTCGGTGATTGGTGGGGCAAAGCTGGGGCAAAGTCCAAGGTGAAGGGGGCAAAGGCACGAGCTTTAACTAGGGGTAGGGGGCCTCCCCCAGAATATTTTGAAAAACAGGTTGCCGGAAATGCAGCCTGGCAGTATTTCAGGCACTGATCGATGAACGGACTTGCGAATCACGACGAAGCCCACTCACGAGCGTCAAAGTAGGGAGTTCCTCCCCAGAAAATTTTGAAAAATAGACTGCCGGAAATGCTGTCTTACAGTATTCTGTCAGGCACCGATCGTTGAGATAAATAGATCTGACCAGATGCCGCCCGTCGCCTGATCACTAGTTTATCCGACTAGAGAACAAAATGTCTAACGAACGGATTTGCGAACCTCAACGAATTCCCCTTGTGAGCACCAAAGTAGCGAATACATTGGGGACATCGCCAAAGAATTTTTGAAAAATAGACTGTCGGAAATGCTCTACACATCCAAGTTTACGACTGAGTGGGGATGTAGGATTTATTCACCGTAGAAGGTCAATACCGAAACGTATCACAAATACTTTTTGTTATTTTCTAAAATTATTTTTTTTTGGGGGGGGGGGGCAAACAGAGGGCAGACCAGATTAATAGGGATCAAATGCCCCCCTTGTCCCCCCCCCCCTCTGGCGCCGCCACTGCTAATGAAGATGGTAAGCTTAAGTGAACTGTGTTGAAATCTAAAGTTTGTTCTGATATTATTGATTTTATATCACAGATCCGTGTCTTGATAATCCATGTTTAAATAATGGAAGTTGTATGCGCGAAGGATCGACCTATACCTGTTCCTGTATGATGGATTACACTGGTAAAAACTGTGAAATACTAGTTCCACGTAAGTTGATCATGTAATTAAAGACACAAGATGCCAGATAGTTACAAATATATATCAAACATACAAACTATTTTAAAGAATAAATAGAAACCAATGTAAACTTTTAATGGCCATAACTTTAGCAAGAGATGATGGAATTTAGTTTATATTGAGTTCAAGCTGCCATCATTAATGTTGGCCTCGATGAAAACAAACTTGTTATTCTCTGGTAGCAGACTGACGTGCTATGATAAAAGTGACTTTCGACAACCATAGTGTAGGATTGATGAATATGTATTATTATCTTTAAACTTAAAGTTATCTTTAAAAAACTGATTTTTATATGCCTACATTTTCATGTGGACGTATATTGTCGTCGCCCCTGTCCGTCAAAACCTGTCTTTTTAGCACGTTCTTTGTCCTTCTATTGCAAAATATGATCGTATCTTGCTTGCAACCGCTTGGTTTTATCTTCTTATAAACATTGCTCTTCATATTGTAATAAAGTACGACTTCAGCCTAAGTGAAATGAGTTTAACGTCCTGCTGTTCTGCTCCGACTGGGCTAATGAAGATGGTAAGCTTAAAGGACAATATTGGTGCCAGTCATTATTACACATGTGATACAACTGGTTAAATACATTCCAAATATAATTTTAACACAGAGATCATTGCTACGGGAGACGTGTAACAAGCACGTGAAGAAACGGGAAGTGACGCCAAACATGACAAACACGAGTTGTCCTTCTATATAACTGACTGAAGTAACGAGCGATAGCAGACAAACGATCGAATTTCATTTCACTGATAATTCCGTTGAAGTTGAAAAGTTATTATATGGGACGGTGAGAGGGTGGCTGAATGGTTAGCACGTGCGCGCTGTATCATAAGGCCTGTCATTGAGTCAACTGGCGTTGTTTCGAATCCCCGGTTGTACGTGACAAAGAGTAGGGTTGCCTGTCCAACCTCGTGGGTTTTCTCCGGGTTCTCCCACTGCTAAGGACTCGTACTCGCAAGCGAATTATTGAAATAAAATTAAAACCATATGTTAGTCCCGAAATGACCTAGTCTGTGTCGAGTGGACGTTAAACCCCATTTCTCTCTCTCTCTGAAATGAAATGGGTTTAACGTCCAACTTTTCTGCTCCTGCTCCGACTGGGCTAATGAACAGTGGCGGCGCCATCCGTCGGTGATTGGTGGGGCAAAGCTGGGGCAAAGTCCAAGGTGAAGGGGGCAAAGGCACGAGCTTTAACTAGGGTTAGGGGGCCTCCCCCAGAATATTTTGAAAAACAGGTTGCCGGAAATGCAGCCTGGCAGTATTTCAGGCACTGATCGATGAACGGACTTGCGAGTCACGACGAAGCCCACTCACGAGCGTCAAAGTAGGGAGTTCCTCCCCAGAAAATTTTGAAAAATAGACTGCCGGAAATGCTGTCTTACAGTGTTCTGTCAGGCACCGATCGTCGAGATAAATAGATCTGACCAGATACCGCCCGTCGCCTGATCACTAGTTTATCCGACTAGAGAACAAAATGTCAAACGAACGGATTTGCGAACCTCAACGAATTCCCCTTGTGAGCGCCAAAGTAGCGAGTCCATTGGGGACATCGCCAAGAAAATTTTGACAAATAGACTGTCGGAAATGCTCTACAACATGCAAGTTTATGACTGAGTGGGGATGTAGGATTTATTCACCGTTGAAGGTCAATACCGAAACGTATCACAAATACTTTTTGTTATTTTCTAAAATTATTTTTTTTTGGGGGGGGGGGGTCAAACAGAGGGCAGACCAGATTAATGGGGATCAAATGCCCCCCTTGCCCCCCCCCCCTCTGGCGCCGCCACTGCTAATGAAGATGGTAAGCTTAAGTGAACTGTGTTGAAATCTAAAGTTTGTTCTGATATTATTGATTTTATATCACAGATCCGTGTCTTGATAATCCATGTTTAAATAATGGAAGTTGTATGCGCGAAGGATCGACCTATACCTGTTCCTGTATGATGGATTACACTGGTAAAAACTGTGAAATACTAGTTCCACGTAAGTTGATCATGTAATTAAAGGCACAAGATGTCAGATAGTTACAAATATATATCAAACATACAAACTATTTTAAAGAATGAATAGAAACCAATGTAAACTTTTAATGGCCATAACTTTAGCAAGAGATGATGGAATTTAGTTTATATTGAGTTCAAGCTGCCATCATTAATGTTGGCCTCGATGAAAATAAACTTGTTATTCTCTGGTAGCAGACTGACGTGCTATGATAAAAGTGACTTTCGACGACCATAGTGTAGGATTGATGAATATGTATTATTATCTTTAAACTTAAAGTTATCTTTAAAAAACTGATTTTTATACGCCTACATTTTCATGTGGACGTATATTGTCGTCGCCCCTGTCCGTCAAAACCTGTCTTTTTAGCACGTTCTTTGTCCTTCTCTTGCAAAATATGATCGTATCTTGCTTGCAACCGCTTGGTTTTATCTTCTTATAAACATTGCTCTTCATATTGTAATAAAGTACGACTTCAGCTTAAGTGAAATGAGTTTAACGTCCTACTGTTCTGCTTCGACTGGGCTAATGAAGATGGTAAGCTTAAAGGACAATATTGGTGCCAGTCATTATTACACATGTGATACAACTGGTTAAATACATTCCAAATATAATTTTAACACAGAGATCATTGCTACGGGAGACGTGTAACAAGCACGTGAAGAAACGGGAAGTGACGCCAAACATGACAAACACGAGTTGTCCTTCTATATAACTGACTGAAGTAACGAGCGATAGCAGACAAACGATCGAATTTCATTTCACTGATAATTCCGTTGAAGTTGAAATGTTATTATATGGGACGGTGAGAGGGTGGCTGAATGGTTAGCACGTGCGCGCTGTATCATAAGGCCTCTCATTGAGTCAACTGGCGTTGTTTCGAATCCCCGGTTGTACGTGACAAAGAGTAGGGTTGCCTGTCCAACCTCGTGGGTTTTCTCCGGGTTCTCCCACTGCTAAGGACCCGTACTCGCAAGCGAATTATTGAAATAAAATTAAAACCATATGTTAGTCCCGAAATGACCTAGTCTGTGTCGAGTGGACGTTAAACCCCATTTCTCTCTCTCTCTGAAATGAAATGGGTTTAACGTCCAACTTTTCTGCTCCTGCTCCGACTGGGCTAATGAACAGTGGCGGCGCCAGCCGTCGGTGATTGGTGGGGCAAAGCTGGGGCAAAGTCCAAGGTGAAGGGGGCAAAGGCACGAGCTTTAACTAGGGGTAGGGGGCCTCCCCCAGAATATTTTGAAAAACAGGTTGCCGGAAATGCAGCCTGGCAGTATTTCAGGCACTGATCGATGAACGGACTTGCGAATCACGACGAAGCCCACTCACGAGCGTCAAAGTAGGGAGTTCCTCCCCAGAAAATTTTGAAAAATAGACTGCCGGAAATGCTGTCTTACAGTATTCTGTCAGGCACCGATCGTCGAGATAAATAGATCTGACCAGATACCGCCCGTCACCTGATCACTAGTTTATCCTACTAGAGAACAAGATGTCAAACGAACTGATTTGCGAACCTCAACGAATTCCCCTTGTGAGCGCCAAAGTAGCGAGTCCATTGGGGACATCGCCAAGAAAATTTTGAAAAATAGACTGTCGGAAATGCTCTACAACATGCAAGTTTATGACTGAGTGGGGATGTAGGATTTATTCACCGTAGAAGGTCAATACCGAAACGTATCACAAATACTTTTTGTTATTTTCTAAAATTATTTTTTTTGGGGGGGGGGGCAAACAGAGGGCAGACCAGATTAATGGGGATCAAATGCCCCCCTTGTCCCCCCCCCCTCTGGCGCCGCCACTGCTAATGAAGATGGTAAGCTTAAGTGAACTGTGTTGAAATCTAAAGTTTGTTCTGATATTATTGATTTTATATCACAGATCCGTGTCTTGATAATCCATGTTTAAATAATGGAAGTTGTATGCGCGAAGGATCGACCTATACCTGTTCCTGTATGATGGATTACACTGGTAAAAACTGTGAAATACTAGTTCCACGTAAGTTGATCATGTAATTAAAGACACAAGATGCCAGATAGTTACAAATATATATCAAACATACAAACTATTTTAAAGAATGAATAGAAACCAATGTAAACTTTTAATGGCCATAACTTTAGCAAGAGATAATGGAATTTAGTTTATATTGAGTTCAAGCTGCCATCATTAATGTTGGCCTCGATGAAAACAAACTTGTTATTCTCTGGTAGCAGGCTGACGTGCTATGATAAAAGTGACTTTCGACGACCATAGTGTAGGATTGATGAATATGTATTATTATCTTTAAACTTAAAGTTATCTTTAAAAAACTGATTTTTATACGCCTACATTTTCATGTGGACGTATATTGTCGTCGCCCCTGTCCGTCAAAACCTGTCTTTTTATCACGTTCTTTGTCCTTCTCTTGCAAAATATGATCGTATCTTGCTTGTAACCGCTTGGTTTTATCTTCTTATAAACATTGCTCTTCATATTGTAATAAAGTACGACTTCAGCTTAAGTGAAATGAGTTTAACGTCCTACTGTTCTGATCCGACTGGGCTAATGAAGATGGTAAGCTTAAAGGACAATATTGGTGCCAGTCATTATTACACATGTGATACAACTGGTTAAATACATTCCAAATATAATTTTAACACAGAGATCATTGCTACGGGAGACGTGTAACAAGCACGTGAAGAAACGGGAAGTGACGCCAAACATGACAAACACGAGTTGTCCTTCTATATAACTGACTGAAGTAACGAGCGATAGCAGACAAACGATCGTATTTCATTTCACTGATAATTCCGTTGAAGTTGAAAAGTTATTATATGGGACGGTGAGAGGGTGGCTGAATGGTTAGCACGTGTGCGCTGTATCATAAGGCCTGTCATTGAGTCAACTGGCTTTGTTTCGAATCCCCGGTTGTACGTGACAAAGAGTAGGGTTGCCTGTCCAACCTCGTGGGTTTTCTCCGGGTTCTCCCACTGCTAAGGACCCGTACTCGCAAGCGAATTATTGAAATAAAATTAAAACCATATGTTAGTCCCGAAATGACCTAGTCTGTGTCGAGTGGACGTTAAACCCCATTTCTCTCTCTCTCTGAAATGAAATGGGTTTAACGTCCAACTTTTCTGCTCCTGCTCCGACTGGGCTAATGAACAGTGGCGGTGCCAGCCGTCGGTGATTGGTGGGGCAAAGCTGGGGCAAAGTCCAAGGTGAAGGGGGCAAAGGCACGAGCTTTAACTAGGGGTAGGGGGCCTCCCTCAGAATATTTTCAAAAACAGGTTGCCGGAAATGCAGCCTGGCAGTATTTCAGGCACTGATCGATGAACGGACTTGCGAATCACGACGAAGCCCACTCACGAGCGTCAAAGTAGGGAGTTCCTCCCCAGAAAATTTTGAAAAATAGACTGCCGGAAATGCTGTCTTACAGTATTCTGTCAGGCACCGATCGTCGAGATAAATAGATCTGACCAGATACCGCCCGTCGCCTGATGACTAGTTTATCCGACTAGAGAACAAAATGTCAAACGAACGGATTTGCGAACCTCAACGAATTCCCCTTGTGAGCGCCAAAGTAGCGAGTCCATTGGGGATATCGCCAAGAAAATTGTGAAAAATAGACTGTCGGAAATGCTCTACAACATGCAAGTTTATGACTGAGTGGGGATGTAGGATTTATTCACCGTAGAAGGTCAATACCGAAACGTATCACAAATACTTTTTGTTATTTTCTAAAATTATTTTTTTTGGGGGGGGGGGGCAAAAAGAGGGCAGACCAGATTAATGGGGATCAAATGCCCCCCTTGCCCCCCCCCCCCCCCCCCTGGCGCCGCCACTGCTAATGAAGATGGTAAGCTTAAGTGAACTGTGTTGAAATCTAAAGTCTGTTCTTATATTATTGATTTTATATCACAGATCCGTGTCTTGATAATCCATGTTTAAATAATGGAAGTTGTATGCGCGAAGGATCGACCTATACCTGTTCCTGTATGATGGATTACACTGGTAAAAACTGTGAAATACTAGTTCCACGTAAGTTGATCATGTAATTAAAGACACAAGATGCCAGATAGTTACAAATATATATCAAACATACAAACTATTTTAAAGAATGAATAAAAACCAATGTAAACTTTTAATGGCCATAACTTTAGCAAGAGATAATGGAATTTAGTTTATATTGAGTTCAAGCTGCCATCATTAATGTTGGCCTCGATGAAAACAAACTTGTTATTCTCTGGTAGCAGGCTGACGTGCTATGATAAAAGTGACTTTCGACGACCATAGTGTAGGATTGATGAATATGTATTATTATCTTTAAACTTAAAGTTATCTTTAAAAAACTGATTTTTATACGCCTACATTTTCATGTGGACGTATATTGTCGTCGCCCCTGTCCGTCAAAACCTGTCTTTTTATCACGTTCTTTGTCCTTCTCTTGCAAAATATGATCGTATCTTGCTTGTAACCGCTTGGTTTTATCTTCTTATAAACATTGCTCTTCATATTGTAATAAAGTACGACTTCAGCTTAAGTGAAATGAGTTTAACGTCCTACTGTTCTGGTCCGACTGGGCTAATGAAGATGGTAAGCTTAAAGGACAATATTGGTGCCAGTCATTATTACACATGTGATACAACTGGTTAAATACATTCCAAATATAATTTTAACACAGAGATCATTGCTACGGGAGACGTGTAACAAGCACGTGAAGAAACGGGAAGTGACGCCAAACATGACAAACACGAGTTGTCCTTCTATATAACTGACTGAAGTAACGAGCGATAGCAGACAAACGATCAAATTTCATTTCACTGATAATTCCGTTGAAGTTGAAAAGTTATTATATGGGACGGTGAGAGGGTGGCTGAATGGTTAGCACGTGCGCGCTGTATCATAAGGCCTGTCATTGAGTCAACTGGCTTTGTTTCGAATCCCCGGTTGTACGTGACAAAGAGTAGGGTTGCCTGTCCAACCTCGTGGGTTTTCTCCGGGTTCTCCCACTGCTAAGGACCCGTACTCGCAAGCGAATTATTGAAATAAAATTAAAACCATATGTTAGTCCCGAAATGACCTAGTCTGTGTCGAGTGGACGTTAAACCCCATTTCTCTCTCTCTCTGAAATGAAATGGGTTTAACGTCCAACTTTTCTGCTCCTGCTCCGACTGGGCTAATGAACAGTGGCGGTGCCAGCCGTCGGTGATTGGTGGGGCAAAGCTGGGGCAAAGTCCAAGGTGAAGGGGGCAAAGGCACGAGCTTTAACTAGGGGTAGGGGGCCTCCCCCAGAATATTTTCAAAAACAGGTTGCCGGAAATGCAGCCTGGCAGTATTTCAGGCACTGATCGATGAACGGACTTGCGAATCACGACGAAGCCCACTCACGAGCGTCAAAGTAGGGAGTTCCTCCCCAGAAAATTTTGAAAAATAGACTGCCGGAAATGCTGTCTTACAGTATTCTGTCAGGCACCGATCGTCGAGATAAATAGATCTGACCAGATACCGCCCGTCGCCTGATCACTAGTTTATCCGACTAGAGAACAAAATGTCAAACGAACGGATTTGCGAACCTCAACGAATTCCCCTTGTGAGCGCCAAAGTAGCGAGTCCATTGGGGATATCGCCAAGAAAATTGTGAAAAATAGACTGTCGGAAATGCTCTACAACATGCAAGTTTATGACTGAGTGGGGATGTAGGATTTATTCACCGTAGAAGGTCAATACCGAAACGTATCACAAATACTTTTTGTTATTTTCTAAAATTATTTTTTTGGGGGGGGGGGGGGCAAAAAGAGGGCAGACCAGATTAATGGGGATCAAATGCCCCCCTTGCCCCCCCCCCCCCCCTGGCGCCGCCACTGCTAATGAAGATGGTAAGCTTAAGTGAACTGTGTTGAAATCTAAAGTCTGTTCTTATATTATTGATTTTATATCACAGATCCGTGTCTTGATAATCCATGTTTAAATAATGGAAGTTGTATGCGCGAAGGATCGACCTATACCTGTTCCTGTATGATGGATTACACTGGTAAAAACTGTGAAATACTAGTTCCACGTAAGTTGATCATGTAATTAAAGGCAAAAGATGCCAGATAGTTACAAATATATATCAAACATACAAACTATTTTAAAGAATGAATAAAAACCAATGTAAACTTTTAATGGCCATAACTTTAGCAAGAGATGATGGAATTTAGTTTATATTGAGTTCAAACTGCCATCATTAATGTTGGCCTCGATGAAAACAAACTTATTCTCTGGTAGCAGACTGACTTTCTATGATAGAAGTGACTTTGGATGACCATAGTGTAGGATTGATCAATATGTATTATTATCTTTAAACTTAAAGGGACAATAACACTCTTGCTGGCTTGACAGCTCCAGAAAATAAAAAATAGCTTTATTCTAAGTACTAGATGTGTTAGTGACTGTCCTACTTCTTGTGTAAATTATCCATTAAATCCTATTTTACTTGTCCAAAGGGTTCAAAAATATATTTAAATCCAAGTCACATTTGAAAAGCTTTACGTCGGGCATTTAAATCATTTAGTTGAATTTTTCCAATTTTTTAAATTAGGTGTGTTAAGATGAAATTTGTATCATCAATTAATTGGAATATTGTAAAATAGTACAATTTGTTGAACAGAAAAAAGATTGGGACATATTATTCAGTTACAACAAGAGTGGTATTGAGCCTTTAAGGTTATATTTAAAAAACTGATTTTTATACGCCTACATTTTCATGAGGACGTGTATTGGTCGTCGCCCCCGTCCGTCAAAACCTATCTTTTTAGCGCGTTCTCTGTCCTTTTCTTGCAAAATATGATCGTATCTTGCATGGCAACCGCTTGTTTTTATCTTCTTATAAACTTAGCTCTTCATATTGTAATAAAGTACGACTTCAGCTGAAGTGAAATGAAATGGTGTGTGTGTGTGGGGGGGTGGGGTTGGGGTGGGGGGGTGGCTGAATGGTTAGCACGTGCGCGCTGTATCATAAGGCCTGTCATTGAGTCAACTGGCGTTGTTTCGAATCCCCGATTGTACGTGACAAAGAGTAGGGTTGCCTGTCCAACCTCGTGGGTTTTTCGTCGGGTTCTCCCACTGCTAAGGACCCGTACTAGCAAGCAAATTATTGAAATAAAATTAAAACCATATGTTAGTCCCGAAATGACCTAGTCTGTGTCGAGTGGACGTTGAACCCCATTTCTCTCTCTCTCTGAAATGAAATGGGTTTAACGTCCAACTGTTCTGCTCCGACTGGGCTAATGAACAGTGGCGGCGCCAGCCGTCGGTGATTGGTGGGGCAAAGCTGGGGCAAAGTCCAAGGTGAAGGGGGCAAAGGCACGAGCTTTAACTAGGGGTAGGGGGCCTCCCCCAGAATATTTTGAAAAACAGGTTGCCGGAAATGCAGCCTGGCAGTATTTCAGGCACTGATCGATGAACGGACTTGCGAATCACGACGAAGCCCACTCACGAGCGTCAAAGTAGGGAGTTCCTCCCAGAAAATTTTGAAAAATAGACTGTCGGAAATGCTGTCTTACAGTATTCTGTCAGGCCCCGATCGTCGAGATAAATAGATCTGACCAGATACCGCCCGTCGACTGATCACTAGTTTATCCGACTAGAGAACAAAATGTCAAACGAACGGATTTGCGAACCTCAACGAATTCCCCTTGTGAGCGCCAAAGTAGCGAGTCCATTGGGGACATCGCCAAGAAAATTTTGAAAAATAGACTGTCGGAAATGCTCTACAACATGCAAGTTTATGACTGAGTGGGGATGTAGGATTTATTCACCGTAGAAGGTCAATACCGAAACGTATCGCAAATACTTTTTGTTATTTTCTAAAATTATTTTTTTTGGGGGGGGGGGGTGCAAACAGAGGGCAGACCAGATTAATGGGGATCAAATGCCCCCCCTTGTCCCCCCCCCTCTGGCGCCGCCACTGCTAATGAAGATGGTAAGCTTAAGTGAACTGTGTTGAAATCTAAAGTTTGTTCTGATATTATTGATTTTATATCACAGATCCGTGTCTTGATAATCCATGTTTAAATAATGGAAGTTGTATGCGCGAAGGATCGACCTATACCTGTTCCTGTATGATGGATTACACTGGTAAAAACTGTGAAATACTAGTTCCACGTAAGTTGATCATGTAATTAAAGACACAAGATGCCAGATAGTTACAAATATATATCAAACATACAAACTATTTTAAAGAATGAATAGAAACCAATGTAAACTTTTAATGGCCATAACTTTAGCAAGAGATGATGGAATTTAGTTTATATTGAGTTCAAGCTGCCATCATTAATGTTGGCCTCGATGAAAACAAACTTGTTATTCTCTGGTAGCAGACTGACGTGCTATGATAAAAGTGACTTTCGACGACCATAGTGTAGGATTGATGAATATGTATTATTATCTTTAAACTTAAAGTTATCTTTAAAAAACTGATTTTTATATGCCTACATTTTCATGTGGACGTATATTGTCGTCGCCCCTGTCCGTCAAAACCTGTCTTTTTAGCACGTTCTTTGTCCTTCTCTTGCAAAATATGATCGTATCTTGCTTGCAACCGCTTGGTTTTATCTTCTTATAAACATTGCTCTTCATATTGTAATAAAGTACGACTTCAGCTTAAGTGAAATGAGTTTAACGTCCTACTGTTCTGCTCCGACTGGGCTAATGAAGATGGTAAGCTTAAAGGACAATATTGGTGCCAGTCATTATTACACATGTGATACAACTGGTTAAATACATTCCAAATATAATTTTAACACAGAGATCATTGCTACGGGAGACGTGTAACAAGCACGTGAAGAAACGGGAAGTGACGCCAAACATGACAAACACGAGTTGTCCTTCTATATAACTGACTGAAGTAACGAGCGATAGCAGACAAACGATCGAATTTCATTTCACTGATAATTCCGTTGAAGTTGAAAAGTTATTATATGGGACGGTGAGAGGGTGGCTGAATGGTTAGCACGTGTGCGCTGTATCATAAGGCCTGTCATTGAGTCAACTGGCGTTGTTTCGAATCCCCGGTTGTACGTGACAAAGAGTAGGGTTGCCTGTCCAACCTCGTGGGTTTTCTCCGGGTTCTCCCACTGCTAAGGACCCGTACTCGCAAGCGAATTATTGAAATAAAATTAAAACCATATGTTAGTCCCGAAATGACCTAGTCTGTGTCGAGTGGACGTTAAACCCCATTTCTCTCTCTCTCTGAAATGAAATGGGTTTAACGTCCAACTTTTCTGCTCCTGCTCCGACTTAGCTAATGAACAGTGGCGGCGCCAGCCGTCGGTGATTGGTGGGGCAAAGCTGGGGCAAAGTCCAAGGTGAAGGAGGCAAAGGCACGAGCTTTAACTAGGGGTAGGGGGCCTCGACCAGAATATTTTGAAAAACAGGTTGCCGGAAATGCAGCCTGGCAGTATTTCAGGCACTGATCTATGAACGGACTTGGGAATCACGACGAAGCCCACTCACGAGCGTCAAAGTAGGGAGTTCCTCCCCAGAAAATTTTGAAAAATAGACTGCCGGAAATGCTGTCTTACAGTATTCTGTCAGGCACCGATCGTCGAGATAAATAGATCTGACCAGATACCGCCCGTCGCCTGATCACTAGTTTATCCGACTAGAGAACAAAATGTCAAACGAACGGATTTGCGAACCTCAACGAATTCCCCTTGTGAGCGCCAAAGTAGCGAGTCCATTGGGGACATCGCCAAGAAAATTTTGACAAATAGACTGTCGGAAATGCTCTACAACATGCAAGTTTATGACTGAGTGGGGATGTAGGATTTATTCACCGTAGAAGGTCAATACCGAAACGTATCACAAATACTTTTTGTTATTTTCTAAAATTATTTTTTTTGGGGGGGGGGGGCAAACAGAGGGCAGACCAGATTAATGGGGATCAAATGCCCCCCTTGTCCCCCCCCCCCCTCTGGCGCCGCCACTGCTAATGAAGATGGTAAGCTTAAGTGAACTGTGTTGAAATCTAAAGTCTGTTCTGATATTATTGATTTTATATCACAGATCCGTGTCTTGATAATCCATGTTTAAATAATGGAAGTTGTATGCGCAAAGGATCGACCTATACCTGTTCCTGTATGATGGATTACACTGGAAAAAACTGTGAAATACTAGTTCCACGTAAGTTGATCATGTAATTAAAGGCACAAGATGCCAGATTGTTACAAATATATAGCAAACATACAAACTATTTTAAAGAATGAATAGAAACCAATGTAAACTTTTAATGGCCATAACTTTAGCAAGAGATGTTGGCCTCGATGGAAACAAACTTATTCTCTGGTAGCAGACTGACGTGCTCTGATAGAAGTGACTTTGGATGACCATAGTGTAGGATTGATCAATATGTATTATTATCTTTAAACGTAAGGTTATATATAAAAAAAACTGATTTTTATACGCCTACATTTTCACGTGGACGTATATTGTCGTCGCCCCTGTCCGTCAAAACCTATCTTTTTAGCACGTTCTTTGTCCTTCTCTTGCAAAATATAATCGTATCTTGCATGGCAACCACTATTTTTATCTTCTTATAAACTTAGCTATTCATATTGTAATAAAGTACGACTTCTGCTTAAGTGAAATGAAATGAAATGGGTTTAACGTCCTACTACTGTTCTGCTCCGATTGGGTTAATGATGATGGTAAGCTTAAATGAACTGTGTTGAAATCTAAAGTTTGTTTTGATGTTATTGATTTTATATCACAGATCCGTGTTTTGATAGTCCATGTTTAAATAAAGGAAGTTGTATGCGCGAAGGATGGACCTATACCTCTATGATGGATTACACTGGTAAAAACTGAAATACTTCCACGTAAGTTGATCATGTAATTAAAGGCACAAGACTCCAGATTGTTATAAATATATATCAAACTATTTTAAAGAATGTACAGAAACCAATGTAACCTTTTAATGACCATAACTTTAGCAAGAGATGATGAAATTTAGTTTATATTGAGTTCAAACTGCCATTTTCATGTGGACATTGTCGTCTCCCCTGTCCGTCCGTGTGTCTGTTCACCTTTTGTTTGTGAACACTCTACAGGTAACAATTGTTATTCGATTTTGACGAAACTTGACATATAGGTTTATATACCAAAGATCTCGGTTCCTGTCGATATTGGCATGTTTCAGACCGTAACTTCATGGATTATGGCTTCTGATTGTACAAAATCACATTTCCATGTGGGCGTATATTGCCGTCGCCCCTGTCGGTCCACAATTTGTGTGTGGACACTCTACAGGACACAATTCTTATCCGATTTTGACGAAACTCGAAATATAGGTTTATCTCCAAAAGATCTCGATTCCTTTCGATAAAAGAATGTATCGGATCGAAACTTCATGGACTATGGCCCCGGAGTATACGAAAAAACGCGTTTTTAGCTTGTGGGCACTCTAGATGTCACATTTTCTTTCCAATTTAGAGGAAACTTGAAATGTATGGTTATAACCAAACGATCTCGGTTCCGTTCGATATTTGCGCAAATCGGACCGCAACGTTCTGGATTATAGTCACTGATTGTACGAAAAAACGCGTTTTTAGATTGTGGTCTCCCTAGAGGTCACAATTATTATCCGGTTTAAAAAAACCCGTTCAAATATATCACTGTTTCACCGTAATGATGATTAAGTTCGAATGTCGTGAAAATCGGACCGAAACTGCCGGACAAAATGGCCGCATGATGTACGCAAATAGTGTTAAAGTATGTGAATCTCTGGAAACATCGTAAAAACGACGAGGTAAATAAATCTGGAACAACATCAAGATGGACGGCACGGGTTGAACAACAGGTGAAAAGACATAGCCACACCCTGTGTTCTGTTGTACCATGTGTTGACAAATAATGGACCTGCAAAGTCTACTCCGAAATAGGGGAATGGTGGCGATTCTTAAACTCTTGAAGTCAGGTAGTGGTGGCGTTGGTGGTGGTTGATACGGCTTACCTTCATATTTTCGACAGGTTACACATTGATGAATAAGTTTTCTGACGTACTGTCGTCCACGAATTATCCAATAGTTTGATCTCAGCTCAGTTTCTTTAATGCCATTATGTAAAACCTTTCTATGGTAGCTGGTGACGACTATAGACTTGTAAAATAATGACTGGGGTCTATGTTTCATTTTCGGCGTTTTATCGGTAACTTTTATATATCATTAAATATTAAAATTAAAAAATAATTTTCTAATTTTACACGACAAAGAAATCAATTCATTGGCTTCTGAAAGTATCTAAAAAAAAATCTGAAATTTAAACTCTTATGAAAATATTTTCTACGTTTCAAAAAGTCTTGAAGTTAAAATCTTGAAATGAAAATGTCCAGAAAAATATAATGAATTATCAACATTATTACACCAGAGGGCGTTAGCGTATGTGTACAACTTTGATACAGACTATAGATTAGAAATTAAAAGTAGACTTTTTCACGAGTGGAAGTGGGCCCCTGTTGTGTTTACAGTAATTAGTTGCATGAAACAGAAATTAAGCTCGAGATATAATAACAATACAAATAACTTCTATAATTTAAACAGCTAGAAAAATTAGGACAAAGGCCTTTCTTACATATTCGCTGTTATTTGTTTATTATCATCCATTTTTGCCACATTCGAAACACGCGTAGGTCTAATTTGCAAACACTATCCTATAGTTATAGTTAATATGAAAAAGTACACATATAACAGTGAATAGATTCCATTTAAAACACAGCATTATCATCCATTTTTTCCATATTCGAAACACGTGTAGGTCTAATTTGTAATTGTAAACATATGAAAAAGTAAACAATTAAGTGAGAATGATGAAACTCTGAGTATAGATTCACCATATCATTATTATCTTGACTAAGTTCGATGAGAATTTTCTGCTTTGGCTAAGGCGCCATAAAGAATTTGATTGGTCAAGACTTTGGAACATAACAACTCTGCTTTTAATCGAGGTAGAATGTTTTAACTTGGCGTAGATATTCATTAGGTGAATGCCTTGACTGAGTTCAATGATTAACATTTCATGCTAAAGTTAAGCAGAGCTAAGCAGAGTTAAGCAATTCCATTGGTCGATGCTTTGGGACAAATTCTATCTGATAGAGAGTGATGAAACTTAGTGTATAGTTCATAATCAGTTTGATTGCTTGATACTTTTGAAAAAAAATAAATGTGCAATTAATTAATATGTGTCATCTATTTATTTTGGGTTTTTGGCGGGGGACATCAGCCTCACTGTTGGCTTGTTTTATTTGGGGTGAACATTGTCCCGTGATCATAAAACTGTGGCATTATTACAGTCCTGCTGTATATGTCAGGAACTATTCTAATCGTTTGGGCAAACTACATAAAAGCAAAACTTGCATAGTGAACTAATAAGTAAAGTCCACCAAACACCTACAAGTTTTGTCGCAAATAATTAGCTACATCTAGCAATGCAATATTTCTTTTTCCTCCGGGGTGAAGCGTCATCTTTCATTAGTATTTTTACGATGTCCATTGAACACCTCAAGTAGCCATAATGGCTAAGTTAGTATGGCACTGGTTCACTTACCTGGAAACGCCAATGTCCGGGCAACATTTACCTTATGCTCAGTACATGGTGTATGAATGTCTTCATTAGCCTGGATGGTACAGATACGCAAGACTTTAAATCCGGTTTCATTTCAATGCATTTCATTTGAACACCTTACAGGTGGTACTGGATGTTTTAAACAGTAGTCATCACTGATGGCTAAATTAAGCGAAAATAGCAATGTTCTTCGTGTGTTTGGGTGGGTCTGACAAGGAATGTGTGACTATATGTTCAGATGCAAATATGCCAATCTGTATGTAGTGCATGAAAAATTCCTTCAGTAATTGGAAGAAGGCCGAAAGACAGCTGACATTGCGAACGTTTCCCCCGAGTGTCCGTGGACATAAATCTATTCCATTCCTATATTTGTAATAATTAAATAGTAATATATACATTATATAATGAAACCTGTTTATTTTTAACAGTCAAGTCCACAGCCTCCGTTTTGTGTGAGTAACCAGTTGTACATGACAGACAGCAACAAGAGCCTCTATTAGCTTTGTTTTGATGAAGATTTTGAAAGTGAAGTTGTGAAATACAAACTATAAACACAACCTGAAATATTCAATTTAAGATATAATTTCTTACTGAAAACCAGTTTTGTATACTACAATTTTTATATTACAAATATTAGAAGTTATATTTCTGTTTATGTAGAACTAACATAAATGCAACATTTATCTGTCATATCAAACAAGATTATAGATACTAATCATGGTATTAATATTATAAATTTTAGTTTTGTTTTTATTGAAATGTGGTCGTATATTGTCGTCGCCCATGTCCGTCGGTCCGGCGCCCACAATTGCTTGTGGACGCCCTAGAGGCTCAAGTTAATATCTGACGGACTTTAAATGTATGTCAGAGTTATGGTCCTTGTTCACGTTGAAATATCTTGTGGACGCCCTAGAGGCTAAAGTTATTACAGTTAATAACTTTATGCACCGTGTTTAAGGTCATAAAACGCAGAAGCGTATTGATTTTCAACGATTTCTGATAATTGCTGCCTGAGTTATAGCCCTTAATCACTCTAAGAATTCTTGTGGACGTTCTGGGGGCTAAAGTTAATATCCAATTGATTCATACACAGTGTTTTAGGTCATTCGACGAAGAATCCTATTGATTTTCAACGATTTCCGATAATTACAGCCAGAGTTATGGCCCTGGGTCACATTGAAATATCTCGTGGAAGCTCTAGAGGCTAAAGTTAATATCAGATTGACTCTAAATGTTTGCGCCGTGTTTAAAGTAGCTAAGTCTCTAACTCAATATCATCCAAAGTCTTACATGTTGAAAATACGAATTATTTGTCAATTCAAATCAACATTGATGTTGTGATCTTACCAGGAAATGGCAGGCTTTTGATATCCAATATTTAAGACAAAATAAACATTTTACCATTGGTACACGAATCGTGTACCCTAGTGCGTTTTAGCGTCATTTGCAACTAGTGACCAGAAAGAACGAGGCTAGCAATATTCAACTGGAGAGCTTGCTCAATAGACTGGAATAACCAGACGCTAGAAATTGCTATAGGGTTGAGACACATGCCGTATTTCGCTGGATATAACTGATTTGAAATTAGAGTAAAAATGGAAACAATTGAATGTAAATCAGTTTATACACAACCAGATTACATATTATATGCGTTGCGACCCATTTGGGTCAATTTCTAGGTCCCAAATATTAGCGATTTAGCTCCTTTAAGGTCATGCAACAAAGAATCTTATTGACTTTCAACGATTTCCGATAATTACTGCCATAGTTATGACCCTTGACCACTTTGAAATATCTTGTCGACGCTGTAGAGGGTAAAGTTAATATCCGATTGACGTTAAATGTACACACTGTTTAAGGTCATGAAAAGAAGAATCCTATTGAATTTCAACGATTTTCAATAATTACTTCCAGAGTTATGGCCCTTGAACATTATGAATAATCTTGTGGGTGCTCTGGTGGCTAAAGTTAATATCCAATTGATTTCCGGTAATTACTGCCAGAGTTAAGGCCCTTGATCCCTTTAAAATATATTGTGGATGCTTTAGACGCTACAATTAATATCCGATTGACTTTAAATTTATACACAGTGTTTAAGGTCTTGAGACGAAGAATTTTATTGATTTTCAACGATTTAGAAGCTAAAGTTAATATCAGATTGATTTTATATTTATACTGTGTTTAAGGTCATGAGACGAAAAAGCCTATCAATAATTTTCAACAATTTTCGATCATTATGACAATTGATATTAAATGTTTTGTATGCTAAATGTTAGAATATGGTAGAACTAGAAGCCAAATGGGTTGTTACTCGTAATCAGATTTTAGTGTGTTGTAAATGTTTTCATTTCTGACAAAAGAAAAATTATGCGACAACCCTTGTTGACTCGACTCTCCGGAAGACTTAGCTGCTGTGGGCGTATGTTTCGTTGCCTGCAACCTATCTTTTTATATTTTGTAGATCTTTTAGACCAAGTTTTGTTATAACCCAAAATCATAATTTTATACAATATATATTCCTATTTGAAATGTTTTATTTTAAAAATTATCAGTTTCCTCATTCCTTTATCTACGTAACTACTAAAAATATTACTTTCTCTATTTAAACCCATTCTATAGTATGTGTTTTTTTATATATATTCTAAATAAAATATTCTTAAAGATACATTATTTAAGAGTTTTATAAAGAGTTGGCCATTCTCGCTATAATGGCACCTGGAACCACACTCTCAGAAAAGCCTAGCACAATCCATCGGCTGTGTTTGGTCTCGGTCGTTATTTAGTCTCCTCTGAATGTGATCCCAGCGATTTCAATCGGGTTTAAGTCCGGACTAAGGGCTGGCCAGTGCATAACGTTGACACCGTTCTGCTGTAGAAAGTCCCGAGTAACTCTGGCGGTGTGGGTACGGACGATGTCATGATGGAAAACGTTGTTTCGATGACGTCCGAAATGAGGTATGACGTGGGGTCTGAGAGCTTAATCGAGGTAGCGCACTGCTGTGATGCCGCCTCCTCTCCCTGGACCAATATTTTGGAACGCTACATGACCCACTCTCTGGTTTAGGCCGATTCCATCCCAAACCATTATGCTTGGACCTCCCCATGAGTCTCGTTCCATGACACATTAGTCAGAATAATGATGGCCACGTCGACGCCATATTCGTGTCCTGTCATCTGCAAGTGGTCCTCGATTATGGGGACCGACACTTGATGCAAGTGTGTATGGTCATATAGGCCTGAACCTATGGACCGAGGACGTGAACACACTTCTAATAAAAGATTGCACTTTGTAAAAGGGAATTATGACATGTATTTGAAAATTTTCTAAAGTTATTGGTGTTGGTACTGTACATTCTAATTGAGTGCAAGAAGACGGTGTCTCTCCTTAGACCACATAATTCTCTCGTTTTGTTTACAAATTATACCAGAATGCGTTTGCGAGAGAACCATGCAGGGACCGGCACATGGTGGATGACCAATTTTCACCATTTTTTTGATGTATGACGGGTAACCCGTCCAAACCTCACTGCCATAATTTTAGATCAATCTAACCATTTTTAAAGTGTAGAAAAAAATTTGAAATTTTAAGACCGAAAAAGGCCCCAAAAATCATTATTTACAGGCCATTTTTCAATTATGCGGTACAATTAAACTACGGCGAGTAGATTTATGAAACTTTATAGGGTAGCAGATATGGTTAGTGGGTATACATTCTTAAAGTTTGATGGACTCTCATCGAGAGGTTTTTGGTATAGGGACTTAGTGCTGCAAGGTACCAGCATAGCCCAATTTAGGTATGTCATTTTATTTCATCTATATCTCACCGACTGCGGGTATACAAATTCTTTTGGGATGCTGACTGAAAAGGCAAAGATCTGTAGTATTAAGATCAAGAAAAAAATTGGGTAGCACTCAACTCGTTTAGTAGTAAATAATCTCCATTTTTGTCCAAAAATAACGAAAAAACCCCGCTTTATTTACACACTGAAAGGTGTAACGTGGCACTTTAAACCAAATTAACGTGGGTTCGAGTCCAATTAAGCCATAATAGAAATATAAATAAACATAAATATAAACGCATTATATACTTAATCAAATAATTCACGTTTAAAAAATGTTTCATGATCAAAACTACAAACCAATAAGTATTTATAGTTGTGATAATGAAACATTTTTTTAAACGTGAATTGGTCAAAAAATGACCAACACTCCGATCTTTCTTTCGTCAACAGACGATTGTGTGGCATCCAGAACACATTATAGTAGGGCTGTTTCAGTGCTGTGACTAGAGTGGACAGAAAGGTCAGATTTAATACTGGTCGATAATTTTTCAGTAATTGTATAAGTGGTTTGACTACTGCAGTTTTAAAACATTCCGGTACTATTCCAGGCTGCAAACTCGTGTTTATGATGTTAGTAATAATGGGCAAAATTGCATTCGAATTTTTAGCAGGAAATGTGTCGGTATGATGTCCAAAGAATATGATGTTGGTTTGGATTGACAGATTATCTTCTTTATCTCCTTAAATGAAACTGGATTAAAGGAATCAAATTGAATTGATGGAACTATGGACCTACTGTCACCACACCCCTGTGTGTTAATAGAAATGCCAACTCTTTATCTAATCTCCCATGATGTATCTTTAAAACAAATTACAACAAAGTAATACAATGTCAAACAATTATTTATAAAATAAAACCCCCAAACCCAAAGAGGAGGATGAAGACATTGTATTAACAACTTCTTAAAGAAGGGTATGAAGCGCGCGGAGAAGCGAGGAATAATTTGTATCAATATAACGTTGATAATAAGTACTATACGACTATGGAACAATCTGCCTACTCAGATCAGGAATTCAAATAATCTTAATCAGTTTAAAACGAATATCTCTAAGTTATACCCTTTTCAAAAAACAAACCCTATCATAACGTTGGTAACAGAAAGGAAAATATTTTACACTGCCCTACAAGAAGCAATAGTAGTAACCTAAAACGCCACCTCAAAGAACAATTCTTGTCCGACTCTGCTGTTTGTTTTAATTGCCCGAATGAAGAAGATTCATATCACTATTTTTTTATCTGTCCATATTTGTAACACTATGCCTTGCTATGCAGTCGCTGGTTAGATGTGGAAGATATGCCGGGAAAACTCCCCACATCCAACGTGTGACGCATACCCCCTCTTCTCTGCTACATATTTTAGAACAGCCCTTGATCGTCTTTGTATTTTCCTTCACGTTGTGCGTTCTCTTCTTCTTATCTAAATAGTTAAGACGTTTGTCTTTTTTGGTAGTTAAGACGTTTGTCTTTTTTGGTAGTTAAGACGTTTGTCTTTACAGGAATAACAATGCAACAGTTCGTTTTTACATTTTATATATCATAGCTGGATACATAGATATACAAGCATAGTAGAGATTACAATACTAAAGTCATTCTCTCAAACCTCAGATAACTGACGGCGTCTAACGGTCGGTGCATCTAGCTGTGCGGCCAAAAGCCAGCAGGCACAGAAAGTCCTGCAGCAGTCGGATCCTATAGACCACGACCGGGGAGGGTGCATGGAAATAGGCCAACCGACAAGTTTCGACATCCTATCGGACTCAAGGCCTACGGGCGATTTTTCTGTCGGGCAAAAAAACAAAACAAAAAAAAAACACCTCTAGTGGTCTGATACTATTCCTCAACATATGGCGAGTTGGTGCGGGTGCGTTTTTTTCTTCTTTTTTTGAGGAAAAGAATTGGACCTAATGCTGAATGACCTATAGTGCTGACGGGGTTAACGATGATGAACTCTACGTGGGGTAAAATACTAAAAGATTTATTTATATCACTTCAGCTAAATATGTTTGCGAAATTTAAGTATATGGGCTACACCATTGTATTTTAGTGTCATATTATTATGATAGGCTACTCATGCTGACCATATTATTATGTCATACATTTGAATAATTCATTTCAAATACCCCAGCATGTTGTAAAGCACATTAGATGATTTATATGACAGCTAGTAAATTTTATGCCCCCCCCCCCCCACACGCTTCTTTTTATAAAGGTTTTGAAGTTTTATTAAAGGGAAAATATTACCTTGTTTGGATTAGTGAGAGATTAAAGATAATTGATTTGATTAATATTGTTATATTAATTCGATAGTTTGAACAAGTACAGATCGAATCGTATCAATGATACTTTTGGGGTAATTGTTTTATTATTGATATTTTTGTTGTTTGTAAGCTTTCTAACGCTTATAGGTTTAGGGTCTTGGTCAACAATTTCAGCTTTTAAGGAATTAAATACTCCAAGTGACAATTTGATTCACCACAATAATGTTGTATTTAACAAAACAAGACCAGGCAGAGGTTTTGCCAAACTTCAAGCCAAAGAGAAATAACTCCTGGAAATATCAGAAATTATCGGCAAATGCTTTTCGTTGATAAAAAGAGCTTAGGCATATGAACATTGAGCAGTAACAGGCTTAGCCGAATATGGGGACTAGGGCCGAAATGGATGGGGAGCTAACTGCAGTGCTCCCAGCAGAATCCCCCAAATCTTTTCGAATTTGTTATGGTGTATAGTTGTGCGCAAAATAAATCTACCACAATGACATACAAATTGCATTGTGTGAGTGTGACGTACAATGACCAGAAAATGCCACTTTTCCGCTATCGATCTCCAGTGACAATTTCAGCCAGGGGCCCCATGCAAGCTTAATCTGGCCCTGGTTGGGACCCTGTACAATCGAACGGTTGTATTTATCAGTGTATCACAGATCACTCACAGCACGACTGACTGAATTAATGTTTTATCACTTTATTAACGCATCGTCGACCCCATTGTGTCTCTGTTACTGGTACGCAATGTATATTATATAAGGCGATATAGTATATAGCATAGTTCACGCAGATCAAGCCAGCGACAGCTGTACACCCTAAACTGGAATAATATTAACTATGGCAGGTAAGTCAATATGACTGATAATGGCATGTTTAGTTTATGTCTATAAACCCAACTTCTTTATTTGTCCAGTTGCCAGTTGGGACTGAAAAGTAGTAGCCTACGTTAAATCCCATTTCAATCATTGATGTGTTGTATATAAAATATAGATGAAAGACATACAGAAAAAGATCATTTATCGATTTATATTAAAATTATGATAGGCATTCAAAGATTTAATATATCATTAACTGTCAGAATTCTAAACGTGCAATATCTCTCGGGATATTCGGTAAGCATTATAAAATACATTTCCTCTATATAGTCACTGGCGCAATCAGGCCCGTAGCCAGCTTGCTGGCCTCGGAGGGGCAGTGAAGTTTTTAGGGGGGGGGGGCACACCCGGCAGGCTACGGGCCTGGGCGCAATAGAGCCTGCTTGATGCTGACCTGCGATTAAATACCAATTCATTTCCTATTATTGCAAAAATATCTAAACTATCTTTAAAAATTATTGTTGGGACCAAAGATATTATATTTCTCGATATATTGACTTTAGCCATGAATGGCCGAGTGCTGACATCACCAGACAGTGTGATTAACGCTCGCTCTGTTTTTGTCCAACTGTTGTCTCGAACTCTTTTGCGATTGCCAGAAAGTCAGAAGTCCCCGGTGTTTTTTCACTGTGAT